ATTTAGAAGCGATGACTAGAAGCAGCAAGTGCTGAGGTCACCAAGAAAAAGTTTTCTGGCCACCTAAACAGGAAGCCTTGTGATTGCAATTGACATTGATATGAGAACTTACTATGAGGTCAAATAGAAAAAGTGCATACTGAATTTGGCACGCACTCAGTTATTGTGTTGATAGAGGAAAAACAGAAAAAGAAGTTGTCACTTCAGCAGAATAGACCTTAGTATTCTTCTCCACCTTCACATGACAAATTTTTGCTTTAGTATAGGATATAATCTTCATACTCTACTGTGGAATTTTTTTTTACTATGTATGGAAATTTTATGAGTTTTCTGTCTGCTGTTTTATCTCTCATTGGTTACGACTACCAGATTTAGTGTATATGGTGGTATCATCATCCTTTAGTAAAATTTTCCCATCGATTTTTGCGGTTTTGGGCAAGTCTTTATAGTAGTTTTGTTTTTTTTTAATATTGGTGATTGTTTTGGTGATTGTCATCCATTTCAGCCTAAATCATGTCTATTTGCAAATACAGTGTATGCCATTCGATCATCCCATTCTGTAAATATTGGTTAACTTTCTGCTTTTAAAGATTTGTCAAAACGAATTTTTCCAAGTTTTAACTGAATTTTGTAATTTTAGCATATTTCATTTACATCCCAACGCATTTTCTGCAGGCTAAAAAACCGTAGAGGTGTGGAATTGGTTGGTAGATTGAGGAGTCTATCTTGCTGCTATATAAGATCATTGTTGTAGCAGGTTGCGGGCCTATAGCACGTTGTAACTTGGGAGTGCAGAAGTTTGATACAACAATTTAGATTGACAAAGTGTAATCTGAATACAATCACAAGAGAAGTTTGATTATCCAATTGCCTTTCCGTTTCCAGGATTGGGGAGAAGGGTTAAACATATTTTGTACTGAAATATCATCTCCTGTCCTACATTTTAGATTTTTAAATAGTTAATGTTCTGTTTTTGTAATATCCAGATCATGCAGTGGTTAAGTATCTCTATGATACTATTGTTAGATAAACATGACACAATTTGAATTTCGGATCAAGAGATTAGTGTTTTAATAAACACAGAGATTAGTGTTATCATTGATTTACCAAAATGTTATCAAGAAAAATTCCCTTCCACCTTTTTCTTTTTAATATACTACTTGAACCCTTTTGCTCCCTTCCCTCCTGATTTTCAAATTGAAGAACCACAAAATAGAAGTCTAATCCCCATCCAACAAGAAGTATTTGATGAGGATGAAATATTTGAATCAGCTCTGCCATGCAAAGCAGGAAACAGCTATAAAATCCCCATGATCCCAAGTACATTTTTTCACAGCAAACTTTACAAACTCAAAACATCAACCATGAGGAACACAGCTTTAGTGTCCCTTCATTTCTGTCTCTACTTTGTGCTCTTGCTCAATCATAGCACTGCCATTTCCATCAAATCTCTAAACAAAAATGCTGCAGCAAACAACATAGGATCTGGCTCTACCTCCTCATCATGGTGGTGGTATCGGTATCCACAATCTCCATCTCCATCTCCTAGTCCATCAGGGCAGGTGCATTCACCTAATAATACTCCATCAGGGCAGGTGCGTTCACCTAATAATGCTCCCGGTCCAAGCCCCAGTTCCAGCACTACTTCTTCTTCTTCCCCTCGGTCATGGTGGTACTTCCGTTATGATATATTTGGTCCATTACCCGATGGCAAAACTCCTCCTAAATACTACTACAAGTATTTCTTCAGATGGGGTGATCCAGCTAAGATTCTTCCATCGGGGAATAATGCCCTTCCAACTCCTAGTCAAAATGCTGGAAATGACTATTCTTGGTGGTATAGGTACGGTTCTGGTCAGAATCCTTACTATCCATATGGGTACAGATATGGTTATCCATCTAATGCTCCTAGTGGCAAGGGCTCTCCCTCACCGCCTCCTAAAGCTTGAAAGAAATCATCAGCTTATAACATATTGATATCATGCTCCATAGTAGAATAAAGGAGGGAAAGGTAGTATATATAGTTTTTTCAATGAACATCCCGTAGTATTATCAGTCTCTTCTTTCTTCTTGGGATAATTTCACAAACCTCCCCTGAGGTTTCAGACACTTGCATTGAGACCTCTCCAGGTTTTAACAATTACACCTAGCTCCCTTGCTTTTCACATTTTGGTAACAATTCAGTCCAATTAGCAATCCAATATTCCTGTCATGACAGAGTTGATAATTATATTCCATGAATGCCCTCAATGGAACTACTCCCTCCGTCCCAATATTAGAGACGTTTATAGGGAATGCAACTTTTTATGTATAGTAGTATCATTATTGACAGCCAAACCTTTGTTCCAGATTTACCCCGTCGCAAGTACAATGGTCAGCTGCACTTTGTGTTTTTCATGGAGTAATGATTTTGTGGGTCCCATCTTAACCAAAAACATCCCTTTGTATGTTAGAGACACGCGCTATTATTGGCCTTATAAAGTGAGAGTTAGTCTCACGTACTCCTCTGGCTTCTCCAAATGGATAATAAATAACAGGTCCCACCAATTTTATTTGAATTTTCTAGCACATGCACTATGAGAACAAGGACAGAACATTAGAAGGAAAATAGTGTAACGTGACTCTAATTTTGGGACAATGAAAAAGGTGAAACATGACATTAACAATGGGACGGAGGGAGTATATTAGTACAAGATTGGTAGTTAATAACAAGGTAGACATAATTATCAAAGTTGAAGGGGTATAAATGCAATTTAGGAAAAGTTCTTCTGTTACACCAAGCACTCTTCAGTAGGCAACGGTCTGATGCACAGGAATAGGCAACGGTCTGATGCAATCTTCCAACGGCCAAAAATTTGGAAAAGATTGTGCATATAAACATCCTTAATAGTAGATTCCATGGCCTCTTCAAGCCAAATTTTTTCATGCAAATTTGGAAAGCACATTTTATCCTCAAAAGCCAAAAGACTATGAGGAGCATTCACAGAAGGCTAAGCTGAAAACATTTAGCAGATTCCATGGCCTCTTCAAGCCAACCAACAGAATTCTGGAATTCACCAACAACTTTCAGTATTAAGAATAGATATTGCTACTGCAATCGCAAGGTCACAGTGAAGATATCAGAGAGCGAAAAGAATCCAGACAAATTGTATTTCTGCTGCTCAAATTGCAAATATTTCAAATGGTATGATGGAGGAGAAGAAGAAGAAGTTAATAACAGAAGAAGCAACCAAGACACAAACAGGGAAAGGGATATTAGCAGAGCTAGAGTGCTTGGCATTTCAGAAAGGCAATCTGAACCTAATGTGAAACTGCAAAGACAATTTCCAGCTCAAAGTATCTTAGAAAACGTGCTGCTCATCACCAATATGCTACTGTTTGCTATATATATTTTCATTCAAATAGTAAAATCAATCAGCTCTTGAATTCATGTAAATCTGCTGCAACAATGTAGCAGTTGTAGTATGCCTTTTGTGGTGAAAGCCAAATGAAAGTTATCTAGCTATGTCAGTTAGAATGCTACATAAACTAATGTAAAATCCATGTATGCAGTAGTTTACAGTCATTGTATATGAAAGGGAATAGCACCAGTATGCTAATTTGATCAATAGCAACTGAACAATAGCAGCAGTTACATTACCCATGCTAAAATGCAACTTTTCTAGCCAACAGAACATATAACATTTCCATCAATGCAATCCAGAATTACAAAACACCATCTACCAGAATAGTTTCTAGAATAGATGGTGAGGATTGCACCACTAATAGTGTAAAATAGTGTGAGCTCCCATTAACAAAATATTTCAGCAGTCCTAACTTCTGGTACATTTCCAAATAGCAGCACCGAATTCAAAAGAAGTTAAATTAATCATTACATGCTAATTGGTCTGAACTGGCAACTCAAAACCAGTTACTGAAAGTGCTGGTACTGCTAATGCTATTAGAGTTCATAGTTGGTGGTGCATTCATGCTGATAGATGTAGCATTTTCAGCTATGTCAGAAGTCGAATAAACTAGAACCTGAGGATTGGAGTACATTCTGGTACTTTTGGTCCTACCAACACCTCTGACTGTTGAAGTAGAAGGATTGTTTGAAACAGGCCTTCCTCTCTGTAAACATAATAGGATGAAAGTCAAGTTCAAATGAGCAAAAATTAGATCACAGAATTTGTTATTCTCTTACACAAGCTATAATATACAAGTTATTACCTTTCTGTTAGAGCCTGCAGCAGTAGTTTGACAATTATTTTGCATGTTAACACCTCCATTATGACCAGTAGGACTAGGATTGCTCCCTTGATTGGAGTGAACTATATGTACTGCTCCTTCTACATAATCCTGTGAAATGAGAGCACTTGTGAGTCCCTGGAAATCTTTTCACATATATAATTGTAATAGATAAGGAATGAAACATAAAACTGGCAGCAGAATACCCAAAGTACAGCTCCTGATAAGCCTGTGCTGGCCATTCCTCTGCCCGGTCTACCTCTCCTATTTGTCATCTGTGATAACAACTTCAAATGAGTAGCACATAACAAAAATCAATGTAAGATGATGCAGTTCAGTGATAAAATAAAAAACTACTAGTTCAGCTGTGATTTTGTTTGCAGTCGTTCTGTGCACGGGTTGTCCTTTGCAGGTCCTCTTATTATGGCCAAAAGCTCTACAATGGCCACACTTGAGAGTGCTGCTCCTTTTTGGTTGTGAAGAGGAAGCTCCCTCATCAGCTTCCCTTCTTCGATTTACTCTTGGTCTACTATGAGCTCTTCGCAAAGGAGGTGACAACACAATTTTTGGGAGTAAATCAGGCATCGCAGGCCACCTTTTCACATCAGAAATAGGATGAATCATTTCTGAGTATGCCTTCAAATACATGTCCCTTGTGAATCAGGCTTCACAGTAATGTTCTAATTTTTCTCTCCTGTGCAATTATTAAAGGATTCAGTGAAATTATTTGTTACATGATCACATTTAAGTTCAGATGAGAAGACATGCCTACATCAGGAACTTTTTAGAATTTTGTCCAGATATCTCCAAGCAGCAATGTTAATATCTTTAATACTTGCCATTGCTTTATTATAGCCAACAACATCATAACTTTTTGCTACCTTCCAAAAGAAACTTCTAAGTAATATTCCTGGAAATTGAGACTTGAAATTGCAACATATATGCCTACAACAATGCCTACTAGTTGCATCAAAAAATATCTCCTCATAAGCAAGATTCAGTCCCTTCTGCCTATCACTCATGAAAGTTAAAGGGATGTTGTTGTCTAATGGTCCAAAAAACTCTTGAAAGTAGTAGAAGAACCATCTCCAAGTATCCTTATTCTTGCATTCAGTTACAGCAAATGCTATTGGAAAAATGCTGTTGTTTGCATCCAAAGCAACTGCTGTGAGAAGCACACCTCCAAATGGACCCTTCAAGAAACATCCATCAAATCCCACAAAAGGTCTACAACCTTCTAGGAATCCCAGCTTTTGAGCTCTAAAGCTAATAAATATTCTCAGAAATTTAGGCTCAATTAACAAATTTGGCCTATCATAATGTATTTTACAAATGCTATTGGGATTATTGTTCCTTAACAGTTCAGCATATGAGGGGAGTTTAGAATAAGATTCAGCATGTGCGCCTTTTATTTCATTTAGTGCTTTGTTCTTAACTCTGAAAATCTGCATTTTACTCGGCTTTATACCATACTTTCTCAACTCTGCCTCTACACCTTTGCTGGTCATATTAGGATGATCTCTCATGACACCAACCAGCTTCTTGGCCATTCAATCAGAAGTGGCTTCAGCATAGTGTTTATCCATCACACAAGTGTGCTGTGGTTGGTAATTTTTAATCTGAAAAGTTATATTATCAGCCACTGGTGATGCATGTATTTTTTACTGGCATCTCTCAGCATTGCATATCGCAGTCACTCTCGATCTCTCATTTTTCAATCTCAGAAGTGGAAAACCTTTCTGAATAACATAATCTTTTAAGACAGCTCTAAATGTATCCACATTGGTGAATAATTGACCCTTCTCAAATTCTATGTCATCTTTAAAATTGTAAATCCACATCTTTGATCTTATTAACTGTCTCCTAGAATTATCCCCTTCCTCACTTTCAGAATCAGGCACCACAATTTCCATTTCATTGTCTTCAAAATCAGAAAAATTAGTATCACTTTCCTCACTATCATCATTTGAGACCCTATCCAGAACTAATTCATCCTCATTGTCACTATACGGATTGTGTCTCCATGAAGAATCAGAGCTAGAATCTCCATACTGATCATCTGAGATATCAACATCTATAGCTATTGTCTTCTTATTCTGTTTACTAATAACCAGAGTATCTTGCATGTTCACAGTAGTCGGATTTACTAAGTTATTCTCTTCATTAGTAGGGATAATTTCCATATCAGAGACATGCAAGTTTATCACTAGCTTAGATTGATGTTTTTTGAACATCTCACTAATAGAATAATCATCATTAACATCCATCGTGCAATTTTTTTCAAGAATTTCACATCTCATCTGCATAATCATGTTAACATTCCCACTTATCTTGCTCAGTACCTTTTCAGTTACATCAAACAACCAGTTAATGTATGAGTAGCCACTTGGATCAACATTTGGAATCCTGATTTTGTTTGTATTACAGTGAACAACAATGTCATATGAGCAGCAATAGTCCCCATCCTACATTTTCAGATTTGGATGCAAAGTAGTGATTAAATAAAAGTGCATGCTTCCTGCCTTTACATTCGACCAGAAACACCTATAATTTTCAGAAACACATCAGCATACATCTCACTACATATCAACGTATTTCAGCATTACAGAAACTACTGATCAAGCAAAACAGTTAATATTTGCTAATACATTCATGCACATTTTTAATAGAAGTTAATGAAATTTCCAGAAAACATCTTCCATGCATCCATCGTGCATGAAATTTCAAGAAACATCTTTAGTTACAGTAGTGCATGAAGCAACAAACATCTTTAGTTTCTTGACACATCTACTGATCAAGATTAGTACCTTAACAGATAACATGCACTTTTTTAACAAACTGATTCATTACAACGGACGAGATTATAGTACTGCATATCTGAAAATGAAAATTGGTACCTCAATTTCTGCTTCTAAGAAGCTTAACTTCCACTAGATGAAGACAGCTTCACACCAGTTCCATTGCCTTCTTCATTGTCCCGTTTCTTAGCATTTAGATATAAGACATGTTATCTGAGGTTTGTATCTACAATGCAAGATACATCTGTTCAATCAGCCTCGTCACATCACTCATCATCAGAAATTGGCGCCAATACCAAATTACATCTTCTATTGGCGCCTAGGAGTAATCATTTTTTAATCACCATCATTAGACATTAAATTTCTGTTATTCTGGTTAAACATAATTAGAAACCTCCAAATGCATTTGTGTAGGTAGTTAACGTCAGTGCAAATGTATCCTCTGAGGACAAATAGGTCATTTCAGTGCCTGCATATCAGATTTGGGCCCCAATAATCTGCCAGGGGAGCTAGGTGTAATTTTTAAGGGGTCTCAGTGCAAGTGTCAGAAACCTCAGGGGAGGTTTGTGAAATTATCCCTTCTTCTTATGTAAGAGACAAGGGTTGTGCTCCATATTCAATTATCATTAATAAAGCGAGTTCTTTTCTGCATTAATATTTGCTGGTTTTTTCTTTGAATATGTGTTATAGTAATTCTTTTCCATTGAGAAAATTGTTATTGCCATTTTAAGCCAAATTTCCCCTTTTACCAGAAAGCCGTCTACTTTTCTTTACTTTAATTATAGCAAGTATACTAGGAAACCATGTTGTGCAAGGCACAGCTTGGGTCCACCTGAAATATTGTTTAAAATATATATAGAAAAATAACAGCAATATAAGAATTAAATATATGACAAATATAGTTTCAACATGATAGCGTTTTTGTTTAGCATTGCTAATTCGAAACATTAGCCCAAAAATAAGTTAGTCCTAAGTTAAAAATTAACTAAAAAAATAAAGCATGAATATTTTTTTTTGTAAAATTAATTCTAACAAATACATATACTTTCACATGTCCTTATTTGAAAATATAATAATAGCATGAAAAACTATGTCGATATTGTTAGAAAAAAAATAACTCATCCAACTCGCAACTTAGAGTCTAAAAGTATCATTTAACATATAATGTCCCACTAAAAAGTATAAATGGGAATACATTGACCTCATTTAGAAAGAAAATTAATAATATGAGTTATGTTAGCAAATTCGTCTCGTTTAGCAAAAGAAAAATGAAAGAGAAAGGTTTAAAGCATGGGAACAATTAGAGAGATAAAGGGTGGAAAGAAATGAAGGACGAAGCAATGGTACATTAAGATTTGTGTAGGTTTTTGTCATGGTAAAAAAGGAAAGAGAAAATAAGGAAAAAAGAAAAGAAATTAAATCACCTTCCTCAAAAGGAGTATGCCACTTGTCAAAAAGAAGAGGTGCCATGTGGCAACCATTGGGGCTGCTACAGTAACTTCCCTTCTCTTTTTATTATACTTGAGGGATGAGGGATATAAGGTACTCCCTCCATCCTATTGAGACTATTATACTTTACATTTTGGGATGCCTTAAAATATTTGTCGTGAAAGTCAAAACTCCTCTTATCCTCTTCTTTCTTTAATCACGTGCATATGCATGTTGCTATTCAAATTCAAATTTTGAATTATGGAGATAAAATTGAAAAGAGAAGTATAAGCATCATAATCAAAGTGCTATTCTTAAAAAGTTGCATCCTAGAAGCATGACAAATAAATACAATTTTCAAATAAATATAAATAAATTGGGACGGAGGGGTATAAAGGATAGCTATTCACATAAAAGAATAAAAAGAATAAAAGATTTTGGTATTAGTTGAATTACAAGCCTTTCTTTTACTTTTTGAGTGTACTTTTTCATGTCATTCAAAAGTGTACATCTAATCTCTCCCTTTTCCATTGTATGTTGAAGGGGCTCTCTTATCACAATGTAAATATGGGATCCTTCTGCTACGAATTTCTTTCTATTCAGTGATTGTATTTAGTGGGTTTTTTTTGGGTGTATGCATACAAATTTTATGCACTCATGAAGTGCAACAAAGACACATGCTAAGGACATTGGTAATTTGAAATCTTAATTAGTCATTGTTGATAAGCTTTAGCGTTTAACTGAAGATAAGCATCGCCCTCTATGATTTTTGTTACTAAACTGTGATTAACCAATTTAGTTTGCATAGTTGAAGATAAAGTTTGGAGCTCCCATAGTCCATACAGAAGAGTTGCCTATATTTGGGCTCTCCTTTATTTTGATTCAAGAATTAAAACTGAAAGCGAGTTTGTCTACTTAATCTTCAAATAAGGAATTTGATGAACACATTTCATACATTAGTAATCAACCAAGCCATCTGAATTTATATGCATTTTTTTGCTCAAAAAAATCTCAGCCTTACAAATTCTGTTTATCGCGTGTATTATAGTGTTTACCTTCTAAAAGATGTTTGAATGGCAGATGTGATCCTCTGTCCATTATGTCTGTCCACTTTGCTCTCTCATGCAAAATTACGTAGTCTCACTTATTAATATTGCTAAAATTATAATCTTAATTCGTCATGTTAATTCAAAAAGTAGACCGTCCATGTTAAAATTGAATTTGGAACTCATACATCAAACACCTCCTAAATTTGCATTCAATGTTATGTGCCATATCAGCAGTATTAGTAAGTGGAACTACGTAGTTTTGTATTAGAGAATAGATAGGTGCATAGTAAATGTTTACAAATCTAAGGAAGCTGAAAATGACGAGAAAATATAACAAGAAATTGTAAAAACAAGAAGCTCATGGTTATAGGTTTACCCCATAGGAAAATGGGCAACATTCCAATACAAGGTACCCTGGCAAAAAGAAATGCTACAAAACTGAACCCTAAAGAATCAATACAACTACCTATTGCCTAACATCAACAGGCATTCCAAGATTTGGGACGCCTAGAATGCGTTCTGTATGGATTAGAATCCATCGAGTATCAACTGAGTGTCAAATCCAATTAGGAATCAACAGTAAACTTCCTTTTCAACTTTTAAATCATCAGGTGAAGATGGAATGGAAGAACCTTGTTTACAACAAAAGGTAAAAGTTTAACACTAGAAAGTGTCTTGGGTCCACAAATTAGAAACCATCTGTAAGGGCAAATACTCGGCCTGCCAAAGGTGGAGCCAGTGAAGAAATTGCGTGTTGAATGACCTGATTGACAGAAAAAACAGATTTTGATCATCAGATCATGCAAGAGGAAGAAGGGGGAAAAGGGAAAAAGAAAGAAGTGAAATAACTACATGAATGTTAATGAAAACAAGTAAATTTCTGGTGCTGATAATTTGAAATATCACATTTTTGGCATAATGTAGAAACCCAGGAATAATCGTCAAGCTTTAACATGCCAATTGGGTAAGAGAACTCCACTTTAACTCGACTTCCTACTGGTCACCAATCAGCCAAAGATTTTGTTAAAAAAGGGAAAATAGGATTTATCATGCTTGCTATGTCAGATTTGTCAACAGAAAGGAGTAAAACATAAGGATATCAGTGTTTAAAGAGTCAAATTCCTTTCGAAGATAGAGGACAACTTACATCCAATTGATAGCGAGACGAAAAGTGGATCAAAAGAATCGCTTTGTTTTCAAACAGATCTGCATGGTGAATTATCTGCACAAATATACCAAAGCAACATCATACATCAACTGCAGTAAGGAGATTAGAAGGTAAGAAATGGTGAAAACTCAACCTCTGACAAATGCGTGTGCCCATAATCCCTTGCATCATCCACCGTCATGGTGTCTTCAACATATGTGCTCTTAATAGAAATCAAGACAAAGGAAACTGTGTCAGAAAAAATCAGTCTCTTAAATAAATACCACACAAGGTAAGCAACACATGTTCGAAGATAACAGCTTTCTAACTCCCAAAATCACCACATGCTGTTAATATATAGCTGTTTAATAAAGCTTGACTCGAGTTGTTAGTAGCATCAATGCCATGGCTTTGAAGTCCCTTTTGCTGTTTTATCGTATTGAATCTCTGTGCCACTCATTTCGCTATAACAAGCAATCACATGTTAAAAGACTCCCAAAAACTCTATACAACAAAAACATATGTCTCCATCTAAACTAGATAGTCACATAAATGATTCTTTTTTTTTTAAATTTTCTAAGGTTTTTTTACGGCACAACTACATTAATGTAGTTCTTCCAAAAGTTAGGTTGGATATAAACAAGTCTACACAGATCTAATGAAAACTTATGACAGAAAACACCAAAGTGCAGTCATAAGATGATAGGAAAACATAAAATGCATATTATTGTGATTGATAAAGCTCTACACAATATACATATACATATCCATATACATATACATATATATAATGCAGCCATTGAGAAGAAGTTTCTAGCCATTATCTCTGCTTTCTTCATGAAAAAGAAAAAAGAAAAGAGAAAAACCCCAGAGCCATATCATAGAAAAGGGAAAAAAATGAGGAGAAAAAAATAAAAAAAAAGGAAAGAGAAAAGGCATGACATGGCATGGCTTGGAGATCTTGCACTCCAGCCACAGGATGAACATGACTTGGCAGTTGCCTGGATGCTTGGCTCAGCTCGATTATTGGGGTTAATTACCTGATTATTGCAAGTTTTGTTAAATTCTACTGATCATTTTTTAAGCCGTCCAAAAGCACTAGTTACCCTAGCAACTTTACGTCTAACTAAAAATGCTACTCAAAGGTTTAGCTATTTCTCTACATACATCCAAGTTCAGAAAACCAAAACAAAACAAAAAGAAAAAAAAAGTGTCAGCTTCAACAGTTCAATGATTCTTTTTGACGAAGTCTCCTTAAATTGAGCCCCTCATGAAGCCTGCTTTTGGTCTAACCTCACTTTCCTCCTCAAAATCCCATGCAAATTGATTCTTCTGTCTCTTTCCTCTTAAAAGAAGACATTTTCATCCTCCAAATCTGTCTATGCATCAGAGGCTCCAAAAGCTTTAAAACATGTGCACATGGCAGACTAGGACTCCAGTAACATTTAAAAGCCTCAAATTCTCTTCAATGTCAAAACCTATTTTAACTGTGTCCAAGGCAGGGGTTTGGACAACATAAACTTATAAAGATGCTAATCGAAGTAGTTGCTTTGAGCCAGACTCCTTATAGTCACTACTTCAATTAGCATAACCTCTATCTTTTGAAGACTAAAAGAAAATGATTGGTAAACTGTGAAATTAGATAAAAAGTTGCAAATATTCAGGTAACTAACCCCAATCACTGTATTATTTTGCTTGCAATCTAAGACACAAGTTGAATACAAACAATTATGCATACAAGCCAAAACAATTAACAAAATCACACGAAGGGCATGCATAAGCATAACCCAGTACGTCAAGTTAAGTCCACATTTTCAAGTTACTTCTTTCACTATAAATAACAATGATAAATGACCACAGACGTCCAGAATATCAGTCACAGTTAGGGTGTCATACTTCCATAATAAGGACCTTTGCTCTTAAAGCATCAATATTGTTGCTATCCACAATGAAGTCTGACGTTGTGTCTCCTGTGAAAGCAACTTCAGGCGTTGTTGTAGTATATGTAATCTGCCAAAGGCAACAACAGTTCAGTCATTCTCTCAGCTATTGAGTGAAATAAATAAAAGTTACTGTTTATCAATTTAAATTAATAGGCTCAACCAAACACAGCACCAGATATGCGCAAGGCAATCTAATGAGAAGTATGAGTTATAGTGCTATGAGAACAAATTCTAAAATCATTTAAGCATCAAAGCCCAAGAAACACCAATATTATTCATTTGAAAACCTTCCTCCAACTTGCAAAGAAGAACAATCAAGATTAAAGAAAAGCAATGCATATTTATGCAGGTATTAGCATGCTGCACAACAAGAAAACTAGACTACAAAAGTGAAGTAAATGCTCGAAAAAGCTACTTCTGTTTGGCAGCCTAGAAGTAATATAGAGTTATCAAGGCACAGACCTCCACACCTGATAACCTCAATTTCTTTATCTCGTTCCCTGGAAGCCCAATATATTCGTCCTTAAGTTTCTGCTTTACTGAATAAACTACATAACCCTATCATTCAGGGTGAGCAGAGGAAATTAAAGCCTGAAACAGTACTATGGATGATTGTTATAAGGTTCAAGAGAAGACACCTGGCTGGGTATGACATGGTAAGTCTTGAAGGCTTTTACTTTAAGGTCCTTTCTCAAGTAAAATTCTTCTCCTGCAGAGAAAAACAATTACATTGAGGTGATCAAATTCAAAAGACCCTACATCCATTCAAAACATAACTTTTCTGAAATAAATGTATAAACCAAGTGTTAATTAGAAGATAGTTATTACCCACATCCAAGCCAATCAAAGTATGGTTCAATTCTGATTGATCCATATCTCTATGTGCTTGAAAAATCGTTTCAACATTTTCCTTTATGGTTTTTGGCACAATTACAGTTGGGGCTGCCATTCTGTATAATCCACGAGTTGCAACAAACATTGGCAGTCCTCCCTGCAAAACAGCAATACGTGCAGTAAGCACTATATCATAAACAATTTAACCAACTCATGGCTCGCAAACTTAGATCTTACACCTTAGTTCTTTACAAAGCTTAACAAAACTATCAATGCATAACAAGCATGGCACGATATGGCATGAAATTTGGGAATTATCAAAGTAACTAATCAACAGAAACTTAAGCAACCCATCCTGATTTTCCATAAGATTTCCAATGAAGGGCACTGCAAGCAAACATGGATGGTAAAAACTAAATCTCCTTATATAAAATCCAATTTTCTAGTGCATATCCACAATCAAATTCTTTAACTCCAGTAAACAATGACATTTTTTTGGTACAACATTCGATAATCAAGAGTACCATTCTCTGCTTCCCAAAGATTTTCTCTTTTACAAATTCTCTTTAATCCAGCCTACTTGCAAAATATACCGTAAACAAGCATTCCAAGTTCCAACTGAACCACACATCTGCATCTTACCAGCAATCTAGACTCGAAGTAGAACTGTGAATTCAAAAAGAAAATATTGCAAGTAATCAAACACTAAAAGCACACACAATATAAGAGCTCCAGAAACACCAAGCAAGTATGATCTTTTTCCATATAAATTACTTAATTTAACGCACCCCACTACAAAAACACAACTAAAAAGCAATAAAATCAGAAGCCAGATTTTCCCATGTCAATCTAGACTCAAAATAAATCAGTGAATTCACAATGAAACTATATCAGGTAATCAAACACTAAGAACACGCAAGCACGGACACAAAATAAGAGCTCAAGAAACACCATAACAATACGACCATTTTCCCAGCAAAATTACTTAAATTTAACTCACCCCACCCCAATAACACAACTAAAAAAGCAAAAAATTCAAAACCCAGAGTTTCCCAGGTCATAATGGAAGAAATTCACAAATTGCAGCAGAAAAATTGCCATAAAAAAGACGCAAGTAGAAAAGAGTTCAATTAATCACAAGAAGAAAAACTACATACAATGTGATCCATGTGGCCATGGGAGATAAAGAGGAACTGTTGCGAAATAGCACGTTGTGGGCATTTTCCAATGTCAAAAGCTAAGTTGAGAGAAGGGATTATCACGCAGGTCTCATGCCCTGCTATTGATATCCCTTCAATTTGATACCCTTCAATTTCCAATCCCCTCTTTCCTTGCTCCCTTCTTTGGCCACCGAATTTGCTCTTCTTCTTCTCCTCCTCCATTTTTGGGTTGTAAATTCTACTACAAATTTCTGATTTTCAACAAATGTTTTTTCTAATTAAGTAGCTACTTCTTAATCGGTATACCAGCAGAGAAACCGGAGTGCAGGAAGAGAGGTTTTATTAGGATGAACTATTTGCATTCTCCGGGTTTTACCCTTCTTAGCTATTCATTAATCATTATTCATGAGTCCTTTGTCATGAATGAAAAATAGGGTTAAATTCCCCTTTGTCCCTCAAACTATGCGCAGAATCTCACTTTAATTCCTAAACTTCAGAATTGGACAATTAAATCCTTATACTACAAAGTTTGTCCTACTTTATTCTAATTTTGGATGAAGTGCACAAAGTTTAAAGAAATAGTTGCCAATTTATTATAGGAAAATTTGTCAAATTGGTCCCTAACATTTTCACAAAAAACTTTTTTAATCCCTAACATTTAAAATTAGTCAGAATAGTTCCTATCATATAAATTATGAGCCAGTTTGGTCCTAATGCTCGTATTTGCTCTTTTTTCGGCCAAAAATAGCACAACGGCATAATTTCAAGGACAAAATTGAAAACATTCGTTAATTTCGACCTTTTTCTTTCTTTCTGATGGCAGCTTGTATAGCCAGATTTCTGGAATTAGCTCAAAGGTTTTTGAGAATCTGGAAGCTTATAATGGGAAAGGAACAAGTGGTGGTGGGGGGGGGGAAATAATGGAAAGGTCAGGAGAAGGAGGGGATGGTGAAGATGGGGGTGGCGATGGGACCAAAGGTAGTGGTGATAAGGGCGGAGGTGGCGATGGTGAAGGGTGGAGGGGATGGGGATGGTGGGTGCGAGAAAGGAATTGCAGGTGGTGGGGGTGAAGGTGAAGGTGATACAGGCGGCGATGACAGTTGAACAAGTGGCGGTGAAGGGACTACGGGTGGAGGCAGCGATATGGCTGGTGGTGAAGGTATGAGCAGTGGTGGTAGCACTACAAGTGGAGGGGAAGAAAGTAGCAGTGGCTGTAAAGGAATGAGTGGAGGAAGAGGAGGAGAAGGCTGCATAATTGGCGGCCACGACAGAGTCGGGCGGGGAGAGGGAGTTGGCCTAGGTAGGAAAGGGTTGTTTCCGTAAGACCTTGAGAAAGGCCATTTCCCACAGCTTCCAAATAAATATGAATAAAGGGGACCACAATTTGATGATCCTCTTGATCTTCTTCCTCTGTTGCGGTCTCTTCTACTGCCACCACTGCTCCTCCTTCTACTGCCAACTCTATTTCTTCTTCGAGCACTTCTTAGTTCTTGATCCTCTTCTTGTGGACTCAATTTTGTATGGTTATCCTTGGGATGGTTTCTAGAATATTCTGCAAATGATGAATTGACAAACACCAATGCTATCAGAGTCACTACCAGTATGTTTCTTTTCATCCTCAGTATTTTTGGTCGTGTGTGTTAGATCCCAACTCAAAACCTTTGAGCTAATTCCAGGAATCTGGCTATGCAAGCTGCCATCGGAAAGAAAGAGAATGGTGAAAAATTATGGATTATCGAATGTTTTCAATTTTGCCATTGAAATTATACCGATGTGCTATTTTTAGCCCAAAAAAAAGAGCAAATACGAGCATTAGGACCAAACTGACTCACAATTTATATGTTAGGAACTATTCTGACTAATTTTAAATGTTAGGGATTAAAAAAGTTTTTTGTGAAAATGTTGGGAACCAATTTGGCAATTTTTCCTTTATTATAATTAAAGTCAACCAAATTTCATAGGGACAGAAATGTCCTCATCACTCCAACCACCATACCGCTATCTCTATTTCTATTGCAAGCTCTACCTTTCATCATTCTCACACATATCTATATTTTGCTACTCAACTAATTTTTTGAGAATAGGGGTATTTGGAAAAAAAATCACCCAAATAGAACTCTTCGTGGAACGAATTTGAAATTAGGTCCAATGCATTCACAAAATACTATAATTGCAAATTCATTGTAATAAAAATTTATGGGAAATTTGCCAAATTGGTCCCTAACATTTACCAAAAACACTTTTTTAGTCCCTAATATATAAAATCAGCCAAAATTGTCCTTCACATTTAAATTGTGATCCAATTTGGTCCTAATGCTCGTTTTTGCTCCTTTCTCCGGTTAAAAATAACACGCTCCTCTTACGTGGTCATATTTTCAAGGGCAAAAGTGGAAAACACAAATTCTAGATTCACTGGGGACGATCCCTGACCTCATTATCTTTATCTTGCTTCGACTCTCTAAGGACAGGTTCACCACAACGGTGACTGAGTTCACCTGAACAGAAACATATTTGGAGATGATCAGAGGCCGGAGAGCCGAGAGTAGACACGCAGTGTAGAGATTCACCCGGGATTCCTCCTGGTTCTGGGTTAGTTTCTTGAGGGAAAATAAAGCCTCCTCTTGCTCGAACACTTGAAAGCTCCGGAGCTTGGTCATGAACTTGTCTTCTTCGAGGGAGCTAGAGTGACACAAGGACTCACATCTGAGGAGGACGAAGAAGAGCAGCAACAATAGGGGCAGGTGGTTAAAGGTAGAGGAGTGGTGGGCCTGTTGATGACATTGGCAGCCGTCACGAATTCCTTGGAGCTAGCGGAAACTTGACTAGGCGTTTGAGTAAAGCTTTTGTTTTCCACTTTTGCCCTTGAAAATATGACCACGTGAGAGGGACGTGCTATTTTTAGCCGGAGAAAGGAGCAAAAACGAGCATTAGGACCCAATTGGATCACAATTTAAATGTGAAGGACAATTTTGGCTGATTTTATATATTAGGGACTAAAAAAGTGTTTTTGATAAATATTAAGGATCAATTTGACAAATTTTCCAAAATTTATTATGACCACATATTAAAACACTACTTCCTCGTTATAGCCTTATAGGTAAGCTTCCCAACTACATAGCACAAACTTTTCATAAAATCTGCAATAATAAAAAAGGGCATGTCATCCCACTATGTTTTTTTTCAATAGAGTTACTTTTTTCAATTATTTTGAGAAAGTGTACATTCTAAAAATTTAGTAAAATAAAATGTGACTACTTCTAAAATACAGTGGCTCAATTTTGAGAAAGTGCACATTCTAAAAATTTACTCCATTCGTCCCACTTTGATAGTCCTAATTTTTTTTCACACACTTCAAGAAAAAGTAGTTAACTTTATTGGAACAATCAATTTAAGTAGCTATTTTCCTAAAATACCCTCACATTAATTAAAGTACAACTTTATGGGAACTTGGATTGATAATAAAAAAAAATTAACTCGGGGTAGGTTTATAGTAACAATAACTTACATTGAATAAGGGTATTTTAGAAAAATTAAAATACAACTATATTTTTTAATTGAAAAGTGGACTATAATTAGAGATGGCAATGGAGACGGGTGCCCGCGGACAACCGCCCCGCAGGGGACTCTCGGGGCGCGGGGGGGGGAGTATACTCCCGTCCCGTCACCTGCAAAAAAAAATTATATATATATAAATAAATATATATAAATATATATAATATGTAATTTAATTAGTTATAAACTTATGATAATGATATTATTAGTTAGATGTATTATATAATGTATATTAGTGTATGTAATATAATTGATATTATCAATTATATGAATAATTAGACATGTCTACTAATAGAATTTATTAATTAGTTATACTAAATTTACTAATACATTTATACTAAATTTTTAATTACACTTAATAGAATAACACTTTTTTCTCAAAAAAAAAACACAAACACAATAATGAATTAGTGATTGTATTTGTACCAAAAGTGAAAACTTAACTATTTTAGTTGTATTTATTTCATCATGTTGGATTGTATTCAAATAACTTTTGTTTGATTGTTTTTATGAGTTTCAATTGTAAAATTACAATGAATAATAACTTGATGATGCGTTGATATTTTAGTACTTGATTATTTATTAAAATTTAACTATAATAAAATTTTATTAACCCCGCGAGAAAAATTTTATTAACTCCACGGGAGAAGCGGGGCGGGGCGGCTGCAGGGCAGGAGGAGTGGGAGGAGGGTAGAGGTATCAAAATGAGTGACTTGCGCGGGTTTGGGTTGGGTAAAATGGGTAATGGGTATAAGTGAGTCAACTCATTTATACCCATTTAATTAGATGGGTATAAATAGGTAAGTCAAAAAATGAATTAGGTAACTCAATTACCCATTTATAACCCATTTATTTTAACTTTTTGTAAACTCATTTAAATTCATACCACTCTTTGTACCCATCATTAGTTTTAAATATTTATTTATAATGTTCAATAAACTTAATTACCATTTTTTTTCATATATACTCTATGTCACAAAATTACCTATTATTTAATAATTGAATAATAAGAATATAAAATTTTGAACTAAGTACTATAAAAATTAATATAAAAACGTAATCCAAAAATTTTGAACCCCTAACATTTTTTTCATATATAAATTTAAATTTTCATTTTAGAAAGATAAGAAAATAGGCTAAAATTTATTATAAATTAGTAATGCTGAAAAATGAGCAAGTTAACAAACTAAGAGAAAATAAAATAATAAGATAAAATCAACAAATAATAATAATAATAATAATAATAATAATAATAATGAAATAAAAGTAGTTAACATTATGACAAAATGAAAAATTTGAAAAAAAAAAATGGGTGGGGGAAAAGAAGAGACTTGGGGGGAAGAGAATTCTAAATGGGTTAATTGGGTTTGATGGGTTACCCAATAATACCCATTTAATAAATGGGTATTATTGGGTAACCCATTTATACCCATATATAAAAATTTAAAATACTCATACCCATCTATTCATGGGCGGGTATGGATAAATTTAATTAATTGGGTTGATTTGCCACATCTAGAAGAGGGGGCGGGGCGGGGGTTGGGAGGAATTAATAGGCAACGGGGTGGGGGCGGATATAATTTGGGATAGACGAAAAAGAAAAAAAAGTCTATCAAAATGAGACGGAGGGAATAGTAAAATAAAATATAAAATAAAATATGACTACCTCTAAAATACAGGGGTTCCATTACAGTGAACCCCAGCGGAAATAATCGTTTTGCTTACCTATACAGCTAGGGAAATTCAGCATCTTTTGCTTCCAATACCTAAACCCCTTTACGCAACCCGAAAAAGATGGACCCGTCGTGGCACCACCACGCTCCTCCTCCTCCTCCGCTACCAATTGGTGGAGCACCACCACCTCAGGCGGCAACAATCTGCCCTGTTTGCTCAATGTATCACTTCCCATTCTGCCCTCCTCCACCACCTCTTCCTCCTTTCTCTCAAAACATCCATCCCATCCCTCATCAATACCCCCCACCACCACCTCCCCCTGATCAATTTTACCACCCCAGACCCCCTCAACATCCGCCCCCTCTCCCACCCGCCCCCCCACCTTCTGCCTACGATCCCTTTGTTGACCACCAATCAGGGCCAGCTGCAAACCCCCGTCAGCAGCCGCCTTGGATCCCAAGTTCTGGTTTTGATAAAGACCCAGATGGGAATATGTATGCTAATAGTCATTCCACTTATGCTGGGGCTAAAAGAATGAGGTTTGATGATTCGGGCTTTTCGCCAAGCCCGGCCCACCCGTCTGTGGCTGCTGAGGATGAGAGAAGATTAAAGCTGATTCGCGATCACGGTGGGGCAATGAGTGGGGAGTCCAGAAATTCTGCTACTAATTTAGGGACGAGTAATTCTTTTGATCCTGGTTATTGTGATTATGTCCCAAAATCGAATTTTGGGCATGATATTGATCGTAGTAGTTTGCATCAGAATAATGTGTATGAATATAGTAGACGTAGTTTGAATAGCATGGAGCAGCTCAGACAAAATCAAGAAAGAATGGGCTTCAATCGGCATGGTGTATCAGGGGATCAATATGGTAACAAGCAAAATGTTAGTTTGCCGAACCAAAACGGGCAGAATATTGGGCTGACTCAGAATTATAGGGTGTTTAGTAGCCAGCCTCCACTTCCAGTCTCTCCACCTCCACCTCTTCCTGTGGATCCCCCAGGGCAGCATATGGTGCGGCCTGTTGTCTCATCATCACCATCTGGTACATCTCCTTCTTTGTTCCCGGTTGCTCCAGGTTCTTCAACCGGCGTTCAGTCATCCTCATATCATCCTGTTCCAGAATTGAGTTTATTGGCTGCGCATCAACCCATTAGAGGCAATCTCCATGCTTCTACCAGCTTTGGCTCTGAGGTAAGCTGCAAAATGCCAAGGCTTGTTAATCATATGTGTCAATGCAGTCATACTTACAAAATTTTCAAGAATGTGTTTTTGATGCCTTTTGGTCAAAGCAAACACTATTGGACTAAGTGGAGATCAATAAATAGGAAGCATTAATATCTTATTGCTGATCTCTAATGGCAGGAGTGTGCTGTCTATGTAGCCTGGC